ACCTGAGCTGGGTTTACTCTCCCCCAGACCTACCATTCGCTTCTCTGTTATCCTGGTCAAGTTCATTTCATATTCAGTTACAAGGCTGCCCCTGCTACAAGAGCAGAGCAACAAAAACGGGCAGTTTTCCTCTGTCCTGGGCAGCTCTTGCTGTGCCCTCTCCCATTTTAAATCCCACTCCCTCCCAACGGCTTCCCCATGTGTGCTTCCATCTCCAACACCAGACAGGGAGAAATTGTGTAAGCAACAAACACAATTCCATGATATCGAACCCATTTTTTATTATTTCTGCTCTCTGTTTTGATTCTACAAAACTAACCTTGGTCAATTCTTTGGGCAATTGTGAGCTTACACTAAACTTTAGTAGATATAAAAGCTCATAATTTAATCATGGAAATAAAGCCTGTATATAACTAAAAAATAGCACCTAGAAAGAACTAAATTATTTTATGTATGTGCAAAACAGTGGTATAGATTTCATATGATTTTGAAGTTTCCTTTCTGATGTAGTCATTTCAATGACTTCAAATATTTTGATAGATTAAAACGTCATTATTCTTTTGTTTTTTTACCAATTGATAGTTAAAAGAGATTCAGTCGCCCTTTCCCCATCTCTAAACCTAAGCACACGCAGGCGCTGTGTCTGAGAGAGGGTGCTACACTCCTTCCCAGGGCTGTCCACCAATGGCCCTGAGGGAGGGTATCACAGGCTCCACCAGTGATGCTCCCCACATGGCCAGCTACTCATGGGTGACGCTTCACACCTACTTGCACTTGGGCTGCTGGAGCCCTCACTCCTGATGGCATTGAATTCTCCAAACTTACTACCAGTGCACTGCACCCAAATCCAACAGCTAATAGCTGAGGAAAAATATACATTCCTACCATCAGTACACAAAGGCCAACCTTTCTTCACTTCCTCTCAAGAACTTGTTATCTTTTGTCTTTTTGCACAAAGCCATTTTAAAGGAGTAAGGTGGTATCTCACTATGATTTTGGACTTGTATTTCCCTGATAGCTACTTATGTTGAGCATATTTTATGCACCTATTGATCATTTCTCTTCTCGTGAGAAGTTTGTAGTTAATTTTTTACCCACTTTTTAACTGGGTTGTTTTCTTGCTATTGAATTACATTATTAAAGTATACTTTCATCCCTATGTATCTGTGGGTTCCATATCTACAGATTTAAAAAACTGGATCAAAAATATTTGGAAAAATGTCAAAGAAGGCATACAAGGACCACCCAGGACCCACTGGCATCTCTACAAGAAAGACCTAAAACAGCTGAAATGTAGTTGCTCACTGAAATGAGTGACCATGGGAGAAGGTTGGGGTTCAATGGTGGACAGAGAGAGACTTTGGACAAACCCAGAGATGTTGAATAATGGAACAGAGAGGGATAGAGAATGCCTGTTAAGAAATGCCTCCATCTCAACTAGCTTGGCAAGAATAATTTAAGGCTCCCTAACATCAATTTTGCTATAATATCCATGGCATCATGGCATTATCCTCTGTGTTGATTGGATAGGTTACCACCATCATTTGATATCACATTCCAATTACATGTATTTCTTTTAAGGTTTCAATGCCACAAATGAATTTATTATTTCTATATTTTTTTCTTCTTGCTTATTTTTATACCCTTACCTCTTATGTGTTTCATTCTCCTTGAATTATATGCTTCTGCTTCTACAATAGAAAAGTGTGGTGTGGGACTAGGAAGAATAATGCAGGAATTAGGCAGAGACCCAAATGTAGTGAAGGGAACTTCACTACAGTGGAAAGAGCAAGCCCAAGTACCCTGAGGTGAGCATGCCAGGGGTGGTAGAACAATATCAAGAAGACTCTGTAAATGACCTGGGGACAAAGAGTGAGAGTGACAGGCATTGATGTGACTTCACTGAATTAAGAGTTAATGAGCAGCATCCCAAAGCACTTACAGAGAGAAAAAGTACCTCAAAGCATTTATAAAACAATGTGGATGCTGGGAGTCATATTATAAATTTTAAATACTTGTATTTTTTCTACTTTTATTTTATACTCTGAATACTTTATCCCTTTGAAAGGTGTAATGAAAAACTATAGGTTCTATAAGATGACTCAGTCAAGGCAGAAATATTAATTCATTTAAGATATTTTAGCTCTGTGTCTCTCAATAAAATATAAGATGAGCACATATTTACATTTAAACAGTTACTCAACTAATCAAGAAAATAATATTAGTCATAAGTTGATATTTTAATATCCCAAGTAATTAAATTATTTGAAGTAAACACTAGCAACCAGTTACCTCTAGATACCAGTTCACTCTCATGTGTATCTGCCAAGATGAGTTGCATGAGGCACTTGTGTTATTGGGTTTTTTTGCCCTGTTGTATATGTATTTTAGTAGAGGAATATGACAGAGGAGATTAATATGGAAAGTAAATAAGTCAATTCTCCTTAATCATCATTTTAACAAGCATAACAAAAACATTGTATATTTCTTTTTAGCCAACCTCATTCAGGTATTATATTTCCAACATTTGTTTCCTTTCTCTTAAAAACAAAGGATTGAGAGTGAAGGGTGCCAGATCTGGAATTTAACTTGAGTGTGGGCCTTAAAAACTCACTGGGTGCCTGGAGAACATCAGAGAGGATTGGAGCTAGGTTACCATGCATGCTACCAGGTTCAGCTCACAGTCCTAGGGAATATTTCACCTTCTCCATGACTTTCTTGAATGCACTCTTCACTTCTTTGTTCCTGAGGCTGTAGACCACAGGGTTCAACATGGGGATGACCATGGTATAAAACACAGATACGATTTTGTCTGTGTCCAGAGAGTGACTGGAGCTGGGCTGCAAGTACATGAAGACAAGAGTCCCATAGAAGATGGAGACAGCAGTGAAGTGAGAGGCGCAGGTGGACAGAGCCTTCTGGTATCCTGCGCCTGAGCGCATCTTTAGGATGGTGAGAAAAATGAACATGTAAGATATCAAGATAACAAGGAGAGCAGAACAGATCACCAGGCTGGCTCCATAAACAAGTACCATCTCACTAATGTGTCTATCAGAGCAAGAGAGAACCATGACTGCTGGAACATCACAGAAAAAATCATGGACCACATTGGACTTACAGAAGGAGAGACTGAACGTGTCCCCAGTGTGGATGGAGGAATTCAGGAAACCTCCAAGGTAGCAGGCTGTAGTCAGACACACACACACACTTGTCGTCATGGTGGTGGTGTAGTGCAGGGGCTTGCACACTGCTGCATAGCGGTCATAGGCCATCGAGGCCAAGAGGAAATTTTCTGCAGTGACAAAGGCAGCAAACAAGAACATCTGAGCAGCACA